TATATATATAATATCACATCACTTAAGACACTATAGCATAATTGTTAGTACAATTGTTGTTCCAATTAAAAGACTAAATTATTGAGGCAGCTTTATAATTTCAGTGCCTAGCACATAGCCAAAAACATAGCTGAGTGTATCAAATTATTTTTGGGAAAAAAAAAATGCTACCAGGTATTTATCCAAAGACCATGAAATCAATAATTCAAAAAGATGTATGTACCCCTATGTTCATCACAGCACTAGTCACAATAGCCAAGATGTGGAAGCAACCCAAGTGCCCATCAACAGACTAACTGATAAAGATGTGGTGTATATATGTGTGTGTGTGTGTATGTGTGTGTGTGTATGTGTGTGTGTGTATATGTGTGTGTGTGTATATATACGTGTGTGTATATATATGTGTGTGTGTATATGTGTGTGTGTATATGTGTGTGTGTATATGTATGTGTGTGTATATATATATATACATATATATGTGCGTGTATATATATATATGGAATACTACTCAGCCACAAAAGAGACAAAATCATGCCATTTGCGACATCATGGATAGACCTTGAGGGTATGCTATGTGAAATAAGTCAGACAGAGAAAGACATATACCATATGATTTTACTCTATGTAGAAGATAAACAAACAAACATACACATAATAAGGAGAACAGATTGGTGGCTCCCAGAGGGGAAAGGAGAGGGGGGATGGCAAAAGGGGTAAAGGGGCACATATGTATGGTGACAGATAAAAACTAGACTATTGGTGTGAACACGATGCAGTCTACACAGAAACTGAAACATAATAATGTACACCTGAAGTGTACACAATGTTATAAGTCAATATGACCTCAATAAAATAATTTAAAAAAAAGAGAGACCCCAGAAAACTCTCACACCCCTTCCACCACATGAGGACATAAGGAAAAGACAGTCATCTAAGAACCAGGAAGTGGGCTGTCACTAAACAATGAACCTGCCAGCACCCCAATCTTGGGCTTCCTAATCCCCAGAATTATGACAGATAAATGTTTGTTATTTAAGCCCTCCTTGAAAAAATGAAAGTGTGATTGTCATCCATTTTTTACTCACCAAATCAATATATTTAAAACCAATTTAATGAAGTAGAAGACTGGAACAACATTTATGTGGCTCATCAAAGTTCAATACAGGTCAGAATTAAAACCAAGAACCAAAATATATTAAATCTTCATACGCTAGTTAGACTCAAAACACATTAAGTCTCCATATACTACTTAGCATTCCAGGACATGTTCCCCTATCTGAACATGTACTACCTTAATGTCAACTCTGGGCCTGGCATGCTAAAGACATAGGACTTTAAGAACTATTCAATCTTACTGGAGTGGAAGGGTCAACTAATGCATTGAATAATTCAAAGCTAAACTGTGTCCCATTCTTAAAATAGCTATGTCCATTTGATGCAAATAGTTTATCTGAGATATGAAAAAAAAATCTAGGTAGTATTCTGCTCAACTGCAACCACACCAATACCTTTTCCCTATTTTTTTTTAGTTTTTATTTTTCTTCACCATACAAATATATTCTATCTCTGTGCCATTTCACTCCACATTTGTTAATAGCCCAGTCTCTAGGCCACATTGTCATGAATGGAATAAATCTGTCCCAGTGTTCATTAGATTTTAAAGGTGCATCCCTTGTTTCAATGTTTTGCCTTCTGAGAGATGAACATTGAATGCAGACTGAGTGATTGTAATTTCATTTGAGAAAAGGGCAAGAAGAAATGGTCTCACCAAATCCAAAATTTAGATTTACAGGTAAGCATCACTTTTGCTGGTGCTTCTGAATTACAAAAGACAAGCACAATTCTCTCTACAACAATAACTGGGAAACAAAATCATAAATACTCCTCTACATTTTCATTCCCAATTCTCTTGGCTTGGCTACTATTACTAGTAATACTTCCCATATTTGATTGTTACAGCATTATTTTGGTTGCACATAAAACACCACCTGAACAATGAACAACGGAACCAGGTAAATATGCCATAGATTCTATTACACTATTCCTACAAATACCATGAATTGGGGTCAAATGCAGAATGGGATATCACCAAGAATAAGCCGTCAGTAGAACTGCATCAAAGTCGGAATTCAACATCAGCATCCAGGCTAGGCAAGTGACTTGGAGGCCCCCTTGGGAGAAAATTAGCATTTAAAAAAAAATTCTGGCACATAGAAATTCTATTGAATTTTATTGCATGAGAAATCCATGGAAATGGATCTTGTTTTTTGCCCCAACATTGTGGGTTCTTCTAAGATTAGATTTTTGGAATGCAGAGCAGCTAATTCATAGTGGATTGTGGGATTTTGTAGGGAAGAAAAGCCAAGCAATTCCACTCCAGAGAGTGAACAGAGTATCCTGGAGTCTAAAGAAAAAGTAACCTTGTGAGAAAGTGAATTGTGACTGAGAAAAGATTTTCCAAAATCAATGCTATTAAAATTCCTTCTCCCTCCAAAATCTAACATAATCAAAAAAAAAAAAAAAAAAAGCTGATGTTCACAAAAACTGAAACGCAAAAAATGTCACTAATTTTGGCCTTTATTCCTACATTAGCAGAAAAGGTTAGAAATATTTAAATTCTGCCTCTTTAATTGGATAAACACATTCATTGATCTCTTACAATAGTAATTCAATTGTTCTCTTCTGTTTAAGTTGAGCCAAGAAGAAATTCACACATTGCCAGATTTGTCAAGTTATGTCCATAAATGATAACAGTAGGAAATGAAAGCATTTATAGGAAAGTAAAGTAATGCCTGAACATTCTTTCTGGTTCACTTTATACACAAGAGCAAAATAAAACCTTTGTTAATGATTACAAAGGTAGGTAGTAAGCTATACCATGGCTTTAACGCAATTGTGGCGGTTCTGTATTTTACAGCAATAGTTTAACTCACTGTATTCAACTTTGTACAAGAGTACATGGTCATGTCATTCATGGATGTGTTTACCTCTCATTCCCACATCTAAGCCCTGCCATGAGAACTGGGTTACCAGGCTTAGGGCTTTGTAAGTACTTTCTGTTTCCAGGTGAACTGAGGTATTAATTTGGAAGTTACCTTGGCCTAATATTTTTTTCCTTTTCTTTAGATGCTTGAAAGCAGATTGTACCAGTGTTTAATAGGCTGCTAAATCTGCATTTAACACCACACCCTTATTTAACCCACCTACCCACAAGTAGCATAGGATACCCAACTCTAGAACACCATCCTTACACTCTCTTCCTAATTACAATCTTCCTGGCCAGTATGTTTCCATTAAGAAAGCTGGAAAGATTAAGACTGAAGAAACTTCAGAAATAGGTGATCCTTAAGAAAAGCTATTTTTACTAAAGAAACTTTAGGAAGATGAAAGTGTCAATAGAAGATTAAAAGTTGAAGCTACAAATAGATAGATCATACTATATCAATTCTAAAAAATTCTTATATGTGTGTTGACTCCCGAAGACTCTAGCACTGTAGACAACAGTAAAGGGAAAGAAGGAGAAGGTGGAACAGAAAGTTCATCAAGGTCTGAAAGAATAATCTGGAGCTTTTTATCTAAATTCTGTTCTTCCAAACTCAGAGGAGTAAGCATAGTCATGTTCCATCCTGGAACAGAAAGTGTGTAAATTGTCAATTCCCAAAAGTGACACTAGAGAAGGAAGAAAATTTAACTATTATTTTTTAAATAACTCTAACCCTGTAAAAGTGGCACTGTAACTTCAATTATCGAAGCACCTGCTAAAAAGTCTATAAAGATTATCCCTCTATGAGTCATAAGGTGAATCATCCAAGGCTATGGTCATAGATGCCTCTGGAACGATGAGAGACCATGTCACAAAAAAAGGCATCTGGCATGAAAAGATTTACAGAATAAAGTGGATTCATTTCCATAGCAAGAAAGCTTGCGGGGCCGGCCCCGTGGCCTAGCGGTTAAGTGCGTGCACTCTGTTGCTGGCGGCCTGGGTTTGGATCCCGGGCGCACACAGACGCACTGCTTGTCAGGCACTGCTGTGGTGGCGTCCCACATAAAGTGGAGGAAGATCGGCATGGATGTTAGC